ATCATAGATATATAGTTAAGCCACTTCATGTACAAGATACTAGGTACATAATTAACCTTAGKGTAAAAATATTTTATAATTATAAATACCTCTTGCAAATGGAGAATGACTTAAAATACAAATATTCTTATTTAAACAATGTCGTTGCTATTTGTAAAATAGGCAGAATCTACTGAATAATATCAATATGATAACGAACGACTAATAAAAATTTAAATTATGAATGGGTATAAAGACTTGATACAAAACAGGTTAATGCATGTCGACAATGTGTTTATATTAGCCACGGGCACTGATTAACGAATATCAACAATGTCAACTATGTGTTTATATTGAAGTTCAATGTGTTAAATACATATTGACATTTATTTTATTTTTTAAATTTATTTTTGATAATATGACTAGTTTTTTATTTACTTTATAATTAATTGAAATAAAATATTTATAGTGAAACAGTTTTTAATTACTTTTGCTTCTTCAAATGCAGGTACTCTGTGTGCAAGCATTGCCCAGATCTCCTTTTCAAAAAAATCATGATCTACATCTAAATTGGCTGTTTCTGGTTCTTCTGCATCACATGGTGATTTACCACATATATAATGGTTGTTAAAGCTGTCAGGCCTACAAAACAATAGTTTAAAAAACTTATTATTATTTTATGTAATTGAGAATATAACACAAATATGTTAACAAAAAGCCACAAATTAAAATATTTACTTTGAAAATTAATGTATGTTTGCATATAGAAAAATGTTTTGAATTTTAGTAAGTAAAGGCAAATAAGTCCTATCTTGATGAGAATATGTATTATAGCTTATAATACATCTTACATCAAATAATTAAACACTATTAAATTATAATATTTACATATTGACTTCAAAATTTTTTATCTAAATATTATAATGCATTATACAATATTATGTCATTAGACACCACAAAATATAAATACATATTTAAAGTTTGGTACCTAAAATAAATTCCAGATGGATCAATTACCATTGGCGACATCGAAGGACCTTTAGGAGCATGGTAATAATACACGAAACGTTTACTGTAAAAAAAGTTTAATAAAGAGCTGATTAAAAATATATATTTATACATAACATATATATATATACATTAGGGCCTCAGTAATCTGTGGTAATTTGAGGGGATAAGATAATTCTCAAGCCCATTCGGATTACCATGTCTTTCAGATTATCAAGATCCTGCTGTATTTATATATCCTAAAAAGTTAATATTATTTTTTAATTACCGAGGTTCAATAGGCAAAGGTGTAGATAAAAATCCTTTTCCATTTCCAACTTTAGCCATTCGGGCAACATTTCCTGATTCAGCGCCAGCTGCTACAATACATACACCAAATACTATTTGTTGGGTTTTGCCATCTTTTAATTTTACCTACGAAATTAAAAATTATACAAGTTATATTTAATGTGTAATATGTATCAAATATAAATAAATAAATTTAAAACTATAATCGTAAATATAACACTCATACATACTTTTACGCTATTGATCCCTTCATATTCTTTATTAGGATCTTCTTCTACCACTATGCTTGTATCTACTTTAAAACCAAAATTTTCTACTTCACCCTCAATATAATATGTCCCTAGTGATTTAGCTTTATTTCTTAATGCATTCAACAAGGACCAAGGATCAAACCTATACAATATGATTATACAAAAAATTAATTAAATAAAATAAAAAAAACTAATCAATAATTTATACAATTTACCATCCTGAGTTTAATGTTCCAAGACTTCCTAATTCAATATCATCTACATTTAACCAAGGAAATTTAGTTTTCATCATATCTTTTGATAAAAGCTCAACATTAGCATTCAATTCCCTAAAAAGTAATTAAAAAAATTAAAATAACCATTTTCATWAATTGGAAAGATCATACTTCTGTAATTTATGATTTTTTAACATTGTATCCACACCATTTTTTGTAGCTAAAAATAAATAGCCTGATGGATTAAAATTTATTTCTGGTGGTTGCTGTTCTGGGATAGTCAAGTAATCTTTAATATCTCGAAGAAATTCAGCACTGAATTGAGATAATTCAATGTTTTCTTTTAGTGAAAACTGTTGACGAATTCCYCCGCAAGAAAGTACTGAAGATGCTTTAGCATACTATAATATTAAAATAAATATTATTAATTAAATACATATTTTAATTTAACACAGCTTAAGAAAAATTAAAATTGTGTACTGTACAAATCAATGAGAGTTCCTGTGTTTGTGATAGATCATTATGTAACTATTAGTTTGTACCATAATAAATTATACAAAATTGTGTATAATAATTGTTTGATATAACATGTATTAATGATATAGAAAAATAGAACACTATCAAAGATATCATATTATTTACTTTTAATAATAGTCTTTTTGATATAAGAATTTGGCAATTTAACTACGAATAATACTCAGTTTTCACAACTACACAATACCAAGCCCACATTGGGTTGGTTAGTTAATGAAAAAATCTCGGTGAGCCACTCAAAATATAAACAAGTCATGAGTGTTTGGTCATAATTTTATTTTTATAAGTTAGCGAAAAAATTAGTACAAAAATAATTTTAAAGAAAGTATAATTGAATCAAATAGTTTAACCATACAGAAGCTATAGCTGTACTCTGAGGAGAATAAAAATGTACCTCGTCGTGCAGGTRGTGACCAGTTCCCCACTGTAACTTTTTAATAGATGAAAACCTATTTTGGTCTGATAACTGGGTAAGTTATAATTCCACATACTGTATTTTGTCAAACATAAAAATTTAAAGTTAGAAATTCTAAAGCTCAGTAGGATGATACCTTCTTTATCCGAAACTGTATTACATCATTTTAATAGAAAAATAATATATGCAAGGCTCAAATATCCTAGGAGAAAATTATCATTTCGGAATGAAAATCAACTAGCATTTAGCAGTCATCTAAAAATGTATGGCATATACTATGTTTACTGTATTTTAGTATTTTAAATTTACTATAATTTGTTAAAATATTGAAATAACCAAATTATATATTATAAGCAGGGCTAGGATTTATATGCAATAAAAAAAATTGTAAAATATGCATTTCATTTACCAAAATATGCAAAAACAATTTTTTATTATTTCTAGAATTATTATTTATCATAATTTGTTATTACATTAAATATTAATATATGTTGCTATGACATTTTGTTTCATATTTTCAAATACGAACAATTAGTGATTTGAATTTAGAATAGATTTCTATAAACTAAAACTCCTTTCCATGTCACACAATGTTTTTTGGAGCATATTTAAATGRSGGGATTTATCCCGAAAGTAATATCTTTTTCTTTTTTTTTCATATTCTTTGTTTTTATAATGCTACACATTTTTAAAAATCTTTTGAATCCTTTATCCTTCTTTAGAACCTAAAACGATGTAGTTTTTACCAATTCTACAACTCTCCCGTTACATGTTTACAGTTTATCTTTTACATTTAAAATAACTTTTATGCCTTCATCAAAAGTATGCTTTAAAAAAAAAAAGGTTAAGGTTAAAAATCTACAAAATTTACACAAATCTATAATTATGCAACTATATGCATTATGTTGAAAACACGCAAAATTTTTTTTTTATTGATAATAAGACGAATTGTGGACAAATCAGACAACCAATCACTTTGAACTTAAGAAAAACAGCTTGCAATTAATTCATATAAATCATAGCCCTAATTAGCTAACTACAAAAACTATAAGGAAGAAATACTTAACTAAACTTTATTCTAAATTCATAATTATTTTATAACTTGATAGTCTAGTCTGGTAAAAGATTTTACATGATTAAATTAAAAATATAAAATACATAAACTAAAAAGAAGACATATTTAAATTACTTGATATTTTGAGTAAGTATTTAAAGTAAGTTGAGCAAGAATTGTATTTAAAATTAACTTAAATACATATTTGAATACTTTTACTTAAGTAAAAAAATTAAAGAAAGAAAATTTGACTTTGGAAATTATGAAAAGGTTTTTAAGTTGAGATTGATTTATATAATTATCAAAATAAATTAATTTAATTATTCCATAGACTAACTTAGATATATAAAGGGTGTACAAATCAAAATTCAAATTTAGTAATTTACAAAAAAAAAAAATGTGATATACCTAAWAAATTTAATTGTTTATATTTATTTATTATTATTTATTTGTTTTAATATTTATTAGATTTATTTGTTCTAACTTTCAATATAAATCATAAGCAGATACCTACAAATTTAAGTATCTTAATATCAAAACAATTAATACTGTTACCATGTATGCAACAAATATTTAATCAACTATAATACCTCTTGAGTAGATAAAACTGATTTGTTTACCGATAAATCTTTTTCAATAACAGCAATAGTTAATCCATCTCTACATTTATTTTGGAGCCAATAAGCAATGGATGAACCAATTACACCTCCGCCAACAATTAAAATGTCAACGGTTTTTGGGAATATTTTATTATCTTCATACTGTTCAAATGGATCATTAGCTTTTTTCCACAATTCATTTATGTCCCTTTTGATAAACCTCTTACATCTTTCTAATGGATTCTCATGAATAGCATCCGGATCATAAAAGTTATCTGGTTGTCTTGTGGGTAAATCGCTCTTGTGTCTGACACAAAGGAAATATTTAAAATTATGCCGAACAATAAGACCAACCTTACGCGTATACATATTGGAAAGTACTGACTAAAACACAACTGAAATGCGTAAAAGCGTATTCTCAGTTAACATGTAAATGTTAATGGTTCATCGCATTTCCTTATCTTCAAAATATTTTAATGTAAACGGTATTACTAATTGCTGTTATTGAAATACTACTAGAAAAATTAAATTAGCACTTGTGAAACGAATGTATAATGTTAACTTTGTTTTGTTGATGATAAGATTAATAAAAACGCACGTTATTAGGAAGAGTATAAAACATATTATACAGTTATTGTAATCTAAAATTATAAAATCAGCGATTAAAGTGGTAAAACAGTTTTATTAAATTTAATTGCCTTATAAACTTTAAACATTGCATTAGCCGGCATGTTGAATTCTTATCTATTAAGTTCTTATTGTTATCATTTCATAATAAAAATCAAGGACGTCCGTAGGTAGATAACATCCAAGCGATCGACGACAATTAATACGCCATTAAGCCATAGCCTCAAAAGCCAAAGCACTAGGCAACGGCAAGTCGGCAACTGGTAAAGTGGCAAACTGGCAAGTCACTAGTCAGCAAGTAACAAGCAAAAAAAAAAAAACTAGTCCACTACATTAAAATATGAAACATGAAGTATTTGAAAATAAAATTACGTATAAGAATAAAAAAAAAATGCCAAGTAAATTCAATTAAAGTACGCTTATTTTGTTTAAACAAATTATTTCGACAAACGTAAAAATATCCATTATAAATTATAATGACGTTCTAATGCCTTTTATTTATTATCTTCGCGTTATTTTATGTACTATATTGAGTATATGATTTCTAGAAAAGTGAACACATTTTTGAAACAAAATTGGTTCACCTAGGTACTCCAATGCTGATGAATTTACTTAGCATTTATCTATGATATAGCTATAGTCTATAACATTATTATAATTTATAGCACTTAAAGATCTTATAACTTACTGATTATTTTTATTTTTATATATTATTAAAGCATTCCTAGATAAGCCAGTAAGCCTACTGATATATACAAATTTTTAGAGTTTTTTTTAACAATTTTTCTTTCATACATAATTGCGATATAATAATTAAATATTAAGTAGTAGGTTTAAGGTTTAAGCTAGTAATTTTCTGGCATGATGCATTCGATATTGCGGTAATTAGTGGTACATGTCATTTTCTGCGGTCGAGGGGTCTTCCTATTTTGAGACGACGAATTTTTGGAGGGCTTCGTGTAAGTTATAGTGAGCAGCACCATTTGAGTCCGTAAGTGAGTTAAAGAATCTGTTTGCTATATGGTTTATGTGCTAATCGAGATTTTTTTTCACTGGGACATTTTCTACACGAAGTTAGTAGGTTTGGAATCTAGGACCCATTCCGCATTCGGCCCACTATTTCATGAAAAACAAACGGTCCTAATGCGCCCTACATTATTAAAACTTTGATTTTAGGTAACTTACTATAATCACCATAATAAACAGGATATAAATGTTTTTTAATTTAAATTTATTAGACGCAATACTACTAATACTTATATTAATTGTTTATTATTTAAATTGTACTTAAAAACATAATTCATAGATAAAATCTAGAATCTAGATTATAAATGTAAAGAACATTTTTTTTTAGCCAAGTAATATTTAACTTTAACTTTTAAGGAATAATTAATTGCTTAACAGTACCTAGGTAATTCATAATAGACTTATTCACAACTATTTATTTGGTTGTAGTCGAAGCGATCTATCAGTGGAGGCTCATCAAGAATCTTGGTTTGAGGAGGGGGGAGTAATAATTTCACAAAACTTTATAACAAAAATTTCTATTAGTATATATTCTATATTCTTAGTATTCCCGTAGTCCGTACAGAAATGCGTGCTACGCAATTTATGTATTGAACATAATAAAATAATAATATAATATATTAATTTTTATAATAGTATAGTTTATGTATAGCTTTATAGGTTCTTCAAAAGTCAAAACATCAAAACATATAATAGGTACTACGTTTATATGCACAATTAAAGTYGGTTTAAAATCTAAAGCGGTCTAATCATGCATCATGTAAACGCTTTAAAGCGACCTTAATAACATAAAYCGTTTTTATTTTAATGATGCTTGAATATGTGGTTTAACCAAATTAAATCGGTTTAATAAATAAAGTCGGCTGTATTTTTGTACATGTAAACAGTAAACACTCTAAACCGATCACTTTTGTTTTGATAAGTGATAACATATTTTTCAGAATAATGAATATTATAACATACYGATTTAGTATTATCACGTGTAATTGTGTAAACAGGTCAGGAAATATAGGTCGACTCATAATAAAATCGGTTTCAATTAAGAACGGTTTCAATTGCCGTCGTGTAATAGTCGATACTTTAGTTTAGTATARTACTATACGTCTTTACCTAATAATATGCTCTTTTTGTTTGT